AACTGTACAATATTACATGATTCTTACAATATAGTTATGGTGATGACATCACGTGCAGATCGTTACAGCATAGATAACAACTGTACAATATTACATGATTCTTACAATATAGTTATTGTGATGACATCACGTGCAGATCGTTACAGCATAGATAACAACTGTACAATATTACATGATTCTTACAATATAGTTATTGTGATGACATCACGTGCAGATCGTTACAGCATAGATAACAACTGTACAATATTACATGGTTCTTACAATATAGTTATTGTGATGACATCACGTGCAGATCGTTACAACATAGATAACAACTGTAAAATATTACATGATTCTTACAATATAGTTATGCTGATGACATCACGTACAGATCGTTACAACATAGATAACAACTGTACAATATTACATGATTCTTACAATATAGTTATGGTGATGACATCACGTGCAGATCGTTACAACATAGATAACAAATGTACAATATTACATGATTCTTACAATATAGTTATGGTGATGACATCACGTGCAGATCGTTACAACATAGATAACAACTGTACAATATTACATGATTCTTAAGTTTGGAAAACAGCTACTAAGCATCGAACATGCTTGAACAAGTCCATCTTTTAAGTTTATATGATAGGAAAAACTATGGGTTGTGGTAATCCGGTAAAATTATAAGCCTATACTTTTTGATAATTGTATCTTTTAACCCTATATGCATAGGTGGGGTCAAACTACATATGCTATAACTTTTTACAGAGTGCTACTCAACATGGTATTATGGATTTGATGTCAGTTACCAACTTTTCATATGATCCTACACTGATGATTGAGTGACAGTTCGTGGTAGAGAAAAATACGATACACTATACAGGGTACTGAAAAAACTGTAGATATGCATTTCAGAGGTTCTAGAGGTTATGCAAGTGCAGTGTTAAAACTTTGCAGGGGACAAAAAGTATTTTTATTCTTCACATAAGCACCACCTTGCACTCTGACTTCTCAGAGTCTGAGACAGAATGATGTCATCAATCCACACATATCTTGAATACAAATACTTTTTTAACACATCTGATTTTTTATGTACAATAGACTGTACTTTTTACTAAATTTTATCGTGTTTCAGGAAGATACACGTAGTAATTTTGGAATTATAGTAAACCTTCCTTCTCCATTATTGTCTCGATACAATGGACCGAGCCTCTACACATTGGCTTAAAACAGTTTAACTACTTTTGTACAAAAAACTTGAAATAAACAATTTTGTCTTATTTTCAGTAGTGTAAACTAACCATTGTAGCTCCATAATTGTTAAACAAAATACAGAAGAAATCTCAGTATTTAAGAAAAAGTACAGTGGTATAAAAAAAATTGCATAAAGACAGCAAACAAAAATGGTTAGTTTACTTGTATACAGTTACCATGTGGAACTGTTAAAAAAATATCAAATTAGTGACACAATCCAGTTAGCATATAGAACTGTTAAAAAACATCAAATTAGTGACACAATCCAGTTAGCATATGGAACTGTTAAAAATATTCAATTAGTGACACAATCCAGTTACCATGTGGAACTGTTAAAAAATATCAAATTAGTGACACAATTAACTTATTTGATACATGAGGATATAAAAGAGGTGAGTTAATGTGGTAACAAACGACAGAAAACAAAATCCAGCTAGTTTTGTTGGATAGGCTTATAGAAATATGAAATGACACAGTTGCATTTTTGAAGATGGTGAGAGGCAGTATGAGTAAATGTGTAATACGAAATATGCCATAATAAAACTTAAATGACCTATTGCAGGAGATCCAGTTATTAGTTGTCCACCATTAAAAATGGAACTTTGGCACAATAAGTAAGAATGTGGTTTGACAATAAATGTAACATTTAATTTAGACTGTTCAATACTGTGGTGTTTCTTCAAGATGTGGCAATAATTTCAGTATTTAAAGAAACAACAGCTTGTTACCTTTTTGTTATCATCAAGTACAGTATTCATATTCTCAATCCACACTGCATCTACTGGACCATCAAAGAGAATCCATTTTCTCTCTGTACTTGTACTGCTAGCGAACTCTCGAAACGTAACAGCCAAAATACCTGTAATTTACTCATGTTCATTAATGAAACATTAGAAATATTAGCTTGTAGCAAACGAGCCTAAGTTTTAAAAAAAATGTGCTACACTTGTTTACATCTTTTATCTAACTCTTTATATAAATTAACCACGTTGAGATACACATTAATTCATGACGTTTCTCATCCGGCACGATCTACAAGAGGGCTCAGTGAGAGGTCTAAATACTGATACACATACAGTTATGTAGATTAGAAATGTTCAAGAGTTTGCACTATGTCATATCACTGTGAATTACATCTGTCTGCAATATTACAGGTTGTTAGAAGTGACGAAACTTATACTTTAGGTCAAACATTAGCTTACTAACCATCTGACCACTCATGTGACACGGGATCGAAACAGCCATATAGTTGACCCATGGTAACAGCTTTTGGGTTGATAATCCGATAAGTCACTGCAAATTCTTCCATTCCACAATCAGATCCTAATGCATGAATGTTTGTCAGAGCAGATGCCAACACCTGGTAGGCAGTAGTTTTCCCCCCCATAGGGTCGCCAACAATCATTAAACCATGCCGCACCAAGATCATCTCATAAATCTGCAAGATGATCATTACAATGTATTGTGGAGCTGTGATTAGCCAAATAAATTTTATAATCTTGTTTTGGATATATCAATAAACAATTATGATAGACAGGGAACTTATATATTATTTTTATCTGCTATTACGAAGCAATGCTAATGGACAGTAAGATAAAACATCATAGCGACTACTTTCTTCGTAAAGCATGTGTTATGGTTTGAAGCTAGAAATAACAGTTCTAAGCCTAGTATTGTCCTCATTATCTACATATAACAAAAAGTCCCTTTTACTTCCCATTGTTAACAAGTTTCACACCACAGGTCTTTAAACTTGGTTTAACTGATACTTACATGACCAAGGGAGAAGCTTCTAAACATTTATCAGAGTTTGTTACCGAAAATATTGATAAACAAATTAATATACTTATATCTGTTTGTTTGTTGTAAAGCATCAAAAATACACAATGAACTATCTGTGCTCTACCCACCATGGGTATCAAAACCTGTCCCATCATTTATCATTATGTATATATATGTCATGAAGGAAAAGGTATTCTCTGATTGTTTTACAGAAAAACAACAAAGATATTCTCTGATTGTTTTACAGAAAAACAACAAAGATATTCTCTGATTGTTTTACAGAAAAACAACAAAGATATTCTCTGATTGTTTTACAGAAAAACAACAAAGGTATTCTCTGATTGTTTTACAGAAAAACAACAAAGGTATAATCTGATTGTTTTACAGAAAACAATAAAGGTATTCTCTGATTGTTTTACAGAAAAACAAGAAAGATATTCTCTGATTGTTTTATGGTAAAACAACAAAGGTATTCTCTGATTGTTTTCCAGAAAAACAACAAAGGTATTCTCTGATTGTTTTACAGAAAAACAACAAAGGTATTCTGTGATTGTTTTCCAGAAAAACAACAAAGGTATTCTCTGATTATTTTACAGAGTACACATTTGCAGGATTTTAATTTTTTTTAAATCAATCCTTTTAATAATGAAGATATTGAGGAAGTATACCTCTATTACTAATGATAAAATATATTTTCCATGAAAATTAGCAAAGAAAGGTATTTTCTTTACCACAACAACTGTAAAAATAAACCAGAAATATGTACCTGAATGATCTTTTCTAAAAACCAAGGTACAGGCTGCAGATTCCTTTCTTGAATACTTTTCTTCAGAGCAGCAAATATTGTCTCATAGTCAGGTGTGGGGAGTTCTATTCCCGGGAACAGGTCCGATGTAATGCCTTGAAATAACGGAACGTCCTACAAAAAAAACAGATTTCATTCAGAAAGATGATGTATCAGATCTGGTGTGGTTGCTTTCAAAATGAACATAATATTTAATTAAACCAATTAATACACAAGATTTAGTTCAAGTTTCGAAGCATCTATTTTATAGAAAGGTTAGTGTTCATTCTTCATTTATTCATTCGCTTGTTAATATTTAAATAGAAATATGCCCCAAAATTTTTATTCCAGGGTTTCAACATTTAATTGTCAAGATTTATATTCGTACTAAAACTAGTTCTGCTTAACTGAGGATCTAGTGAACACTGATAACTATCTTAGTCACAACTAAATCCTCCATTCCTATAAAAGAAGAGCCCATGTGGTAAATTGTGCGGCAATTATTAGAAATAACATTTAATTCACTTTCGATGACGAGGAACCCCCTTTGAGACTA